TTTCTACAACTACCTGAGAGGAGGCTGTAGCGAGGTGGGAATTGGTCTCTTTTCCCAAGCAACAAGTGATAGGACGAGAGGAAATGGCCTCAAGTTGCACCAGGGGAGGTTTAGATCGGACATTAGGAAAAATTTCTGGACTGAAGGGTTGTCAAACACTGGAACAGGCTGCCCAGGGAAGTGGTGGAGTCACCATCCCTGGAGGCATTTAAAAGATGTGTAGATGTGGTGCTTAGGGACATGGTTTAGTGCTGGGTTGATGGTTAGATTTGATAATCTTAAAGGTCTGTTTCAACCTAAACAATTCTATGAACAGTGAAGATTTCTGCTCCCAGGCAAGAACCAGCTTCTTGCAATGATGGAATATGGAAGAGAACAGTGTCACACCTCTAAGCTTTAGCCAAAGACCAGAGGTCACGCTGTGTTACCTTGCAGCTTCCGTCTGTCTTTCTAGACACAGTTACGCTGTCCATGCAACTCCATACAGTAGGAAGCACAGCTTTGCTGCTATACCAGAGAAAAAGAAAAAAGGGGCTTGCCTCAAACCTAGTTTTCTACAGTTCGAGGAGCTGCAGTATCTTTAAAGCCTAAAAGCTGTGACTTTACACATTGTAATTGTGTTTTTTCTGGGGGAAAAAAAAAAGAGGGAAAAAACCTCTTTCCTTCTTGCTTCATTTATTAGTTAATTCAGCAAGTCACTGAAGATTAAGGCATTGAATAATTATAGGTGTTACGGAATCTTGCAAGGTTTATTTGTTAAAATGTAGCACTATTTTCAAAATGCTTTGCACAGCTGTTTTTTTGAGATTTAGATACTACTCTGCTCTGAGGGACTTCTGAAACTAATAATTTTAAAATGCAGTAAAGGATGCTGTGTCTGACCAGTGATTTCCTTTGCTGGATAAATTTTCTTTTGTCTTTTCTGATACTATTTTTATTTCATTTAAGTAGGGGAGTTCTAAAACTGGTTACTCTTCAGGGATGTAATAGATATAATAGATGAAAATATTTTAGATTGTTTGGTAGAAACAGTGTATGTGCTTTAGGTGTGTTTCCTAAACATCAACTTCAATTGATCGCTGTCTTGAGACTGGCTGTGATAGTTTTACTCTCTCTTTCTAGGTGGTGAGGTAGCTCATGAAATTGAAGATGACAAACCCAGGAAAAGCCAAAAAGACGATGAAGAGCAAATTGCCAAGTACAGAGACCTTTTGAAAAGTATCCAAGAAAAAGAGAAAAAACAGGAAGAAAAGGATATAGGAATGGAGATTAAATGGGTTCCAGGTATGCTGTATTTTTTTTCTTTTACTAACTTGGAGGATATGCAGTATTGGCCTGCTAATAGGGATTTAGTGTAAGGTGTTGGATTTATAGTAGTAGAAACTGACCTTTTTTTCCATAAATTGGAATCCAGATGGATTATAATGAGGAAAATAGAAGAAGTAATATGACTGAACTCAGTTCCTCAGCTGTAAGCTTCTCTTCGTAGCTTACTTTTTCGTCAGGTTTTTTTTGTGCTTGCTTTTTTCATTCATCACTTTATAGATTTTCTTGAATAGAATTCATGTGTTTGCCATATAGTCCTAAAACATATCTACACTTTTAAAAGTGAAAACCAGTATGATTTGGAAACATGGCATAAAATTAGAGAATGATTTGGAAATGTTGCTTGCATAATGCTGAAGATTTGGGGGAACAAAGAAGGGAGAAGTGTGACCTTCCACCGAGGCTGCTCTGTGCCAAAAAAAACTACTACAAGAAAAGTTGGGGGATAGTGACATCCAGATTTTCATCTGGAAATTAAAAGAAGATAACTTCCCCATATAGCATCCCAGCAGAACTCATCCTGAGATCTGAAAACCAATGTCTAGTATGTTTTTTTTCCCCTTTATGATGAAAAGACATCCAGACTGATTTTTATGTTTTGTTTCTGTGTGTGTGCTTTCCCTGAGGTGGAATGAGCCAGATTTACACTAACGTTATCCTGAATTCACTCAGGTAACTTCTGTTGAATATGAATGCTCGCTTTTTAAATCTTGTTCCGGTCTGTACCGATTCACTGAAGTTGATTGAACTGAATGGAATGGTTTTACTTCTAGTTCTTGATAAGATCTGTGTTCAAAAGTATACGCTGGCGTTAAAAATTGTTGTGTGTTTTCAGTCGTGCTTATATAACTCCAATCATTTCTGGCATGAATTCTCCCGAATGAGAAAGCATGTATCGTGTGTGATAGGACACAGCCGTATTGTCATGTATTACTTCATCTGTCCACAGTGTGTCAGTATTTGCATTTTCATGTTGCTCGCTTAGTGGCTTTAATTCGTTCTCACTGAGCATTCAAGGCAAATGAGTTTTCATACGTTGGTAGCTATTATAAGGTTTTTAGAAAGATTTGTTGTTGCCACCTTTCAGACTGAAGGTGGAAACCAGAGTTGAAACCATTGCTGCTAGGAATGTGGTCTGTATTTATAGAGGCCAGGCATTGTTTGAACAGTTAGAAAAGCTACTGTTTTTTGTGTTGGTGTTTTTGTTTGTTATATAGCCTGTCTTCCGAAGAATCTTGCAAATTGTATGAATGAAGTTCAGTGAATTAAAAAAGTCTAAACAATGTAATGTGGTGACATAGTTAGGAATCTAGAGCAAACCATTCAGTGGAGGAGACAGAAAATTGTTTTGAGAGAGACTAAAGGAAACTCTCTTTAGTCTCTCTTACACACGGAGAGCAAGAAGTTTTCTGAAAGGCTCTGTCTCTTAAAACTGTGCCTTGCATGTTACAAGTAAATAATATTAACATCTAGGAACTGTAACAGAGATGGGATCCAGTTCCCTAATTCATGGGCTCGCTATTTCTTTGCAACGGAACTTGACTTTAGAAAATGGCATTTGTTCTGTATTGCATCTAGTCCAGCCCCTTCCTTACTGCACTTTCTTGTGGGGCTCCTAGAACTTTTGCTATATCCTCATCTCTTTTGAGGGAGGGATGGAAAAAGACCCACCAAAACAAACATAAAAACACACTATCCTGATAAATATGACTGACTTTGTCTAGAGTCAGTTGGATCTGTGCACTGGGTCAGATTTGTTCGTATAATGATGGCTTGAATGTGCACGTGTGCACGATGCAGTTTACATTGGTAGTTTATAGTACTTGATGTCAGTTTAGTAACTACATTTTATAACATATAGTTAGTTTAGCAACTAACTGTATGTTAGTGTTTCCTCATTTCTTACCCTGAAAAAGTTAGAGTATTGTCAAATAGCAGAGGTTGTGGAAATGATAGAAGTGTTCGCTTGCCTTTGCTACCTCCATGGAGTCAGTCCATACCACCACTAGCAATCAGCCCCTGGAATACGGAATTTTGTCCAAAAGTCCTACAAGTGAGGATGAGTGTCTTTAACTTTTCTTTCGTGTCTAATGTATGGGAACACTTTACCTGTTAACTGATTTCAGGCAGCATTTGGAGAGGAGGTCCTGCACACCTGAAAGGGAGAAATTTATTTGTGTATTTATTTACAGTGGAGCATAGTCAGCACATGCTGAACAGTAGTTTGTAGCTCTGGCAATATATACACAGTTGAGGCTGTGCTTTCTTAAGGGAGAGCAGTACATTAATTATTATGTTATTTTTTCTTGAACCAATGTGCTTACTTAAATTCCGAAGCAATTTAATTATGTTTGGTTGGAGCATTCTGGGAATTCAAAAATAGTTTTTGTTATAATCTCTTAAGACTCCTTAATTTTTTTCAGAACTAGTTTATGTCTGTTGAAATATTTTTATTATCGAGCTCTGTCTTAATCTGCTTGATGTATTGCAAAGTCTTCTTCCCACCCAAGTGTTTAATATACAGAGAGTTACAGCAGTTAAATCTAGGAAGCTTTTCAGTTGAAAAGCAGAGATTTGAATTAATTTAAAAATTTGAGTTTTGGCACAAATATTTACACATGGTTATAGAAAGCATACTTCGTGAATGATTCAGTTATTCTTGAATCATAATAGTTTTAAATAAACCACAGTGCCAGTAAAAATAAATTAGATGTAGTTCCAACTCTCTTTGGTCTGTTTCTTTTAGGCACAAAATCAGTGTTATATTTAAGCATCCATCTGTTTTCTTAATCATATCTGATTTGAGCAACTATTACTAGGCATCCTTATCCAACTCCCAAAGCTCCCTTTAGAAGGTGAAGAGAGAGAAGACCACAACTGCATTTCTTCATGATATTCAGCCAGGTTTTCATACAGTTTTTTTTTATTGGACTTAAAAGATCTTCCTTTGGGAAGAGTGAGATGTAAATATTTAGCTAGACTTAAAGGAAATTTTGTTTTCATCTGAAGTAGAATAGCAGGCAACCATGTCTATGTAAAATGCATAGTAAACCCCAACCGTATGTTGTTACAGATGATATGGAGCACAGAAATGCTCATATGGAATATGTATCTCAATCTGTATCACTGCTTTGCGTGTCCTCTGACTGAAGCAGTCTTGGCTCTTGCAGCCCGAAGCAGTGTGTGCTCAGCTGCACGTGGGCTCAGCACTGTAGTTCTTCACACATGATGTCTTAGCTGTGAAGTGTGGTGGGTTTTTTTCAGGGAGTTAGACTATGTTCGGAACTGTTTTGAATTAAGGTGTCTTGTCTTTGTGGGTGACAAATTCTAATGTTATCAGACTATTTCTGTCTGCCATTCCTTTCAGCTACCTGCAACAAGGCATTTCTTTTTTCCGAATTGCTCGCTTAAATTTCCTGAGACTAGGCAAGTCTCTTATTAGCTTCCAATAATTGTGACAGTTGCATGCTATTAAACTTCCAAAGTTTTCAAAACTAAGCGTTTAGAGAAGTAAAAATTCTGGCCTGCTCACTCTCCCTCACTCTTCCACTGGTGTGAGAATCAATATACTTAGGTTTGTTGTAGTATTTATCACAGTTCTAATCCTTTAGCTCAGGTATGATTAGTTGTAAGCTCATACAGAAGGCCTTTTTCCCCTGCTCTTTTCTTGGCCCTTATTTGTGAAGATTAAATAAAATTGGTGTGATGCATTTATTCTAAAAAACTTTGATTTCGATAACAGTATAAATTAGCCTTTTCTATGGACAGTTAATAACTCTACCTAAAGTAGACAATTCCTTTCCCCTTCTGCAATCACAAGCCTTTTGACCACTTAAATACACTCTTATTCTCGGGAAGTGGTCTGGACAGTAGTTTCTGAGCCATTCTAATCTGTGGAGAAACTCTAATGCCTTTCATGAGACTGCCAAATACCACAAGAAAGGGCTGTATTTTCCTCCAAGTCCTTCTCTGCCAGATGGATCAAATGATTCCATTTTCCAGGCAAATAAATAAATCAGAAATCTTGTAACCTCCTTTGAGATTTTGGGTCTCTCTTTTTCTGGAGATGTGACATACATTTTTTTTAATCCAGTATTTACTGTCTTCAGAGAGAATCTGCAAGGTTGCTACCTGACCAGTAATTTTTTCCACAAAAGTACTGCAAAATAATATCCAAAGTAATAGTAGTTCAGTTTCTGGGAAGCTGTTGACTCTGCTTTCATTGACTTTGGAGATGAAGAGGTGTACACTTGGAAATAACTAAATATTTGTTCGTCTTGTATGAGAGGATTTCTTAGTGTCACGTTTTTAGTGAACCTATACAATATCCTTTCTTTAACATGGCTCTGCATTTGTTTGCTGATTAGTACCCAACTTTTGTGGCTGTAAAGATTTGCTACTTACTCTTAATTCTGGCTTCTTTCCAGGATAGTAGAAGGACGCTTTATCTTTATTTTGCTCCACTCTTTTCTTCCTATAAGGCATGATTTAGTACGATTTTAGAACTTGTCCACACTTAGTGTTTCAGACATGTTGTAACCAGCTCTCCAGCCTTTTGAATTATTTTTGGAGTGCCGACAAGCGCGAGAACAGGAATTGGTGTTTGCAGTTTTTCAGAAGAACGTTCTGCCTCCTTTTCTGAGGAAGGGTAGAACTGTCCATGAGAGCTGCCCACTTTTTCCATTATGAACTCTGTTTTTAGTTCCTTCTTACTGAGGAGGGCTGGAAGCCATGATGAGGAGTGGGGACTGGCCAACTGAGAAACCTGAGAGTTGGGAGAAAGAATGGGATCTAGTCTAGGATGTCTGAGAGGTCTGGGTATGATTTCCAAGCAATAAAACTGGTATGAGGGGCGGGAGAATAGGATTTGGTTAGGTGAGGGCTGGACTGGGATGGTAAGAAGGGGTTGCTGAAGAGAAACAATTAGAACAAGTAGAATTGTGTCGGGGATAGCCTGACTGAGGAAGATGATATTGGCCTTGACAGCATCCCAGTATACCCGTGAGAAGATGAAAGAAGTGGGTGAAGAATGTTGTAAACAGGTTTGAGGAGGTGATAAGAGACTAAACAAGTGAATACCACAGAGCAGAAATTTGGCAAGAGAACAGTAGATCAAGTGGGAAATACAGTAGGAGCTCCAGCCAATTAGTATGTGAATAGAGGCAAATGGTCAGAGCTATTGAGTGAATCATTTTAGCAGCCTTAATGCATGAACCGGTGGACAGATAAGAAAGGTTATAAAAGGGTATGCTTTTTCTGCTGCGCCATCTCGGCCATCTTGGCTTTTTGTAACTTAATAAAGTCTGCCTTCTTACACATATTTTTGTCGGTGTCAGTCCCTACCGCGACAGAATTGGGGAAGAGAGAGCAAGTATCAGACTTGGAAGGAGAAGCAGAAACACAATTCCTACACGTTCCTGAGATCTATCAGTCACATTGTAAAAGAGGATGTTAACTATAGGATATCTGGCTCATTTGTTACAGAAGTTAAAAAAAAAGTGTGGTGAATGAAGCAAGGAGTTGCAGGTTAGGAGAAGAATACTTCATTGCTCAGGTTGTTACCTCCTGCTAGGAAAGTGGATTCTGTCTTTCTGCCACTGAATTCTGCTCCAGTGTGTTGCAAGGCAAGTCTGTTAATCTATTTACATCATGAAATTCTGCTTTTGCAAGTGCCCATCTTGTGAAGAACGGGTTGAAAGTGTATAAATTGCATCTGAAAGCAGTATTTGTCCTCAAAACATGCAAGTGCTATGTGATGTAAAGACTTTGAAAAAACATTCCTGAAGTGTATGGAATTTTTCACCAAAAAAATGAAGATTGCTTTTAAAATAAGTGCTTATTCTAGAATTAAATATTCTAGATGTCAAATGGGGATGCTGCAGTTATTTAATGGATTCTTTTTTAAGGTGATGTTTTTGCACCATTGAATACCGTAATGGTGTGTATTATAGAAAACTCCATTCTGTTTCTAGAGTAGGGTTCAGTTACATTTGGTAATTTTGCTGTACATTATTGTATTCAGTAACTTAGCTATACCTTGAATAGTAACACAAAATATTGAGTAGTTACATGTTCATACCTTATAGCTCAAATGGTTGAGATCCTCTGGAAAAGGTAAAGTGTGATCATGTGATGAGAAACTATCAGAATGCATATTTACGAAAGTCTAAGTTAAAGGTTAGGACGTACTTGTGCATGCAGCTCCAAGTGCTAGGCATTGAAACAGTGGCAGTCTGTGCTAAATTACGGAATTTGATGTAAACCTTAACTGTCTGATCCTGTTATGCAACAATTATTTAGAGCCAGATACGTTGCACTTCTACGGGGTTTCCTTTTCTAGGACCCTTGGAAAACTGAAAGTAAAGAGGAAACTTCCTTCAACAAAGTGTGTAGCCACCTTCCCAGCTGTTGACAGGTCAGGAAACACAAATTTAAGGGCTTCTCTTATTATACCTGTAACAAAAGGATACAGAAGATGTGCAGGTCTGAGGTAATGGTCTAATAGTTACAGTTCCTCACTGAATCTGGTGAGAGAATGGTGCTCTTTCTCCTTCAGTCTTTCAGTTCACGTAGCTGTTAAGTACAACAATGACTATTGCTAACTTGGTGTGCTAACAGAGTGAGAGGATGGTTTATTTCTCATGCTGCTTCTTTTTTTTTCTTTCTTTGATCTTGAGTTACTACAGTTTGGACTAGTAATTGGTGATAACAGAAAACGTTCTTTCGAATACTTTGTTTCTTTGAGATGCTGATATGTTTCAAGCAGTCTATGCCCTTAATCTCCACTTCTTGTTAAAAAATACTTTAAAAAAAAACCCCAAAACATCTGTCTACCATAAGCATTGAATCTGGATCTACATTTATTGTCATACCAGGTGTGTACTGCTTTTTAATTTTAGATAGTTTTCTGTTGTTAAAGCAGACTGGTACTAAGTAGCTTTAAAAGGCTAGATGATTTGAAAATAACCTGTCTAGTCTAACTTAATGCATGTCGTGTTATGACATTAGTACATAATGAAAGAAATTATTTGGGGTGGGGTTTTTTATTTGTGTTTTTCTGTGCTTTCTAGCTGTGGATTTATTTTTACTTTAAATTTGTTCAACTAACGGCTTATTGTTCTCTTTCACAATGATGGATGAAAAATACACTGGTCATCAGAAATACTGCAGTATTGTCATAGTATTATCACAGAGGCAAAGTTTCAGCAATGGAGATGCTGTATATAGGAAGTTTATCATGTGACCGAGGCATACTGATACAGCAACAACCAGATAGTATTTCTGTGTGAAATGGAGAGCGCCAGCTATAGGGGATCAAGCCAGCTGTGAGATGACCCTGTGTTCTGATAGTGGTTTAACATTTCAGAATCACTGTCGAGTCACTTCTGTATTTGTTTTGCCATGCACAAAAAATGGGTATGACTGGAGTGTATTCAAAGTGTTTAGTTATAGTAAGGTGCATTAATAACTATAAGGGCTCTGTGTATGTCTGTTGTTGTTTTGATTGTGTTACTCTCCTCCTTAAAAAGTGGCATCTGTAGACTGTGCAGTCTGAAGTCTGGAGAGGAGACCTTTCTGAGGAATAGCAAGAGTGCTGGGAATCATATATCACACAAGCAAGCTCTTCTTCTGCCTCCTGTACAATTTATTACTGAAGGAATGTTTTATTTGGAAAAACACTTTGTGTAAAGTGATCTTATTTATGAAGATGTAGTTTCAAGCAACGTTTATGTTGTTTTCACAGACTTGTTAAAGAACTACTAGATTTTTCTTTTATAAAGGAGAAAACTGTTGATTTGAAAGAAAAAAAATTTGAGATTCCTCTCATTTCTTTAACTTACTTTTTTTTTGTTCTAGGCCTCAAAGAAACTGCTGAAGAAATGGTCAAAAACAGGTTGGAAGGAAAGGATAACCTAACTCCATGGCAAAAGTATCTAGAGAAGAAGAAAGAAAAAAGAATTCTTAAAAAAAAGAGAAAGGTAATGTTTGCATTGGCCACTTGGGGGGAGTTGTTTCTTTGTTTTCTTAAGTTACTGCTATTGTTCGTTTTGGATGAACTACACAAAAAAATTGTATAGCTTCCAGTACTGTTTTAAGGTTAGAATGTACGTTGGTCACTCATGTGGAAAGACGAAGCGTGCCTCATGAAACATACAGAACAAAAGGATATTCAGGATACCACTGATGACACATACGCTTACACAAAATTTCGTTTATCTGCTTGTGTTGCTTTAAAGATAAATAAGTCCTAATAACAGTTGGTTTTCAATTTACATTTTTGAATGCATTAGGAAACGTCTTTTTGCTACTGTATGCGTATCAATTCAAAGTTGTTACGGTAATTGTAGTTTTGGAAATGTTTGGCCTAAAATAGCACAGACTTATTTCCCAAAGCTGTTAACAGCAAAGAATTAATAGCCACGAAGAACTATTCAAATTTCAAATTGCAGGAGCAAATTTGGTAAATGGTTCTGTGTATGAATAACAAAATGGTCCTGTAGTAATGTGAAAATTGCTGTTTCTTCATCTTTCCACATGCAGAAAGTAATTGTGAAGTAACTGACTGCTGTGGCAGTAATGTGCAGAAGTAGGCAGAGAAATGAAATGTTTGTGCATATGTGAGGAAAAAAAAAAGCACGTAGCATACAGAATCTAGCTTCCCTGAATTCTTAAATTACTCTGAACGTAATTCATGTTGCAGAATTATGTTTTTAAGAGTTCTGTCTACAACTTGAGTTACACTGTGCATTCCAGTTAGTTTTAACTGTCGTTTGATGAGTAACTTCTTAAACCTTACAGAAGATGAGTGCTCTGAATAGAGTAGGTAGCACTGTTAGGTACTAGACCAACTTTTGCTAGCATAATATTCTTGTTCATTCTGATAAATGAAGTCAAGGGGCAAGGTGTATGACATGATACTTCCAGTAGTAAAATTTGTTCTTTTAAATCCAAACTCAGTCTTTTGGAATTTCAGAGCACAAAATGAAGCTCATTGCTCAAGGTTTTTCCCCGATAGAGTTTTTGTGGAACATAAAGTAAGAACATGACAATGCTGTGATCTTGTAATTTGTTACTATGGTTAGCTAATGCATCACAGTTTGTGGGTAGACCTACTAAAGATCCTTGGAATATATGAATAGCCCTTCTTCAGGTACACAAAAAGCTTTCCATCTGTGAAACAGATTTTAAATCGTTGATTTGTCTTTACTAGCAATTTTTAGTGTATTCTAGTTTTATGATGTTCAACATACAGCATTTCAGTTTTCATCTTCATAGTTACTAAGAGAGGGAACATATAATTCCAGTGCAACCTAAGAGTTTATGTGTTGACTGAAATAATGTTTGTGCTTTCTTACAGGCTACTGCTGAGAGAGAACAGAGTGAAGATGAACTTCCATCTGATGTTGATCTCAATGACCCGTATTTTGCTGAAGAACTTGAGAAAACAGGTGGGTTGAGACAAGTGACTTCTGGCATAAATCTGCCCTTGCTTTAAATAATGAGCTTTAGATACAAAGTTGGGCTAGAGTACATGCAGAGATAGCATGTTCAGAATGAAATAAAGTAGGGGTCATTTGCCAAAAATTGCAGGTGCTGTTCTTGTAAAAAGTTGTGTGTTGTAATATGTGGAATGGTAGGAAACGTTGTTCTCTTAGCTTTATCAGAGACCATTATTTAGCCAATTTCTGTACATGGCTGTTGGAAACAAGCTGACTATCTGCTCCCCTAAATAGTCCAGAGAAATAACTTTATTGGCTTCGAAGCCTGTTTCCTTTAATATAGGAGAAGCCAGATATGTATGGTAACAGCAAATTTATTTTTAGTTTAATTTTGCTGGTTAAAATTTTAAGGTAGGGATAATCAGTAAGTGTGAGTTCCTGGGTTTCCATGCTTTTGGGAGCCAAAACCGAAGGGTTTCTCATACTGTTGTATATTAAAAGCAGAAAAAAAGAAGTAGTAAGAAGACAAACAAACAAAAAAGAAGACATCAACAGATTTACACGTATCACCAGTCCGTTGTTTTGGTTGTTTCTTTTGAGTATAGTAGTACAGATCCAGGTTCTATTTAAAAAGAGTAAATTACTTCAAGTTTGATACCAGCCAGCATAGGCTTCTGTCCTGATTGTTTGAAGTTTATATTAGGAGAAAGTAAATAATTAAAAAAACAAACCTGGACTTCTTTGTCTCTTAATGTCCTTATATATATGTCTTAATAGTCTGAAGTACAGAACAGTAGGGTGAGTCCTATCCATGTTTTATAGAAAGTACCACAATTTAAGTTGTCATGCAATGCTCTTTGCTGCCATGCTTTCCTGGTGAGTTGTGTGTAGGTTATTCCAGGACTCTGCCATTCCTTGCACCGCATTTTTTCCCAGTAAGATTACTTAGGTACTCTCTGACTAATGTTTGATGTTTCAATGTTCTATGTGAAATCTCTGAAAAAATGTTTTCTCCTGTGTTATGTAAGAAATTCTTTGTGTCATGGAGGGGCTCAGCAGAGAACTATCATACTTGCAGACTCTTAAGGAGAAGATGCTTTTAGAGTGCATGGAGTCTTTGGGGATAGTAAAATAGACATAAAGGTTAAGAAAGTGAAGTTATTGTCTGCAAGATTACCGATAAGATACTAAGAAAGAGGAAAACAGAATGTGGCTAGCCCTGCAGAAGTTTTAAAGTGATGGTACAGTGGCTGGCTGAAAGCCAGCTAGCATTTTAACAATGACTATACAGCACAACTTTGTCTGGGTTTCTGAGCCTCTGTCTCATAGCTGGGGTTGTTTTCCAGCACAGCTATCTTATCTAGTTGGGGAAAAAGGGTTACAGTCTTTTCTGAACTACACTGTAGCTGTCCCAACTTCATATTTAGGGTACAGGCAGCAATAACTTGAATGATCGTAATTTTTCATAAGCCTTCCACAATTCCCCTGAAAGATTGAAATTTCTCCCTTGAATTGACTGTCAGATGATCTTAGATTATGCTGAAAAAAAGCATATGACAGGATATGTTTGCAGACTCAGGTGCACCAGTGCAGAAACTGAGGGTGCAGTAGTGCTGTCAGGGTTTTGCAGGGGTGTATTTGCTGCCATGCTGGATTCACTTGTTGACTGTGGTGTGTATGGGTCTTGTATAAGTTAGTTTTTGACAAGCTGAGGCAACTGAAGGGAAACAGGTGTGTAAGGAACTGTTAGACAAAGGGCCTAACAAATTTGTGTGCTGTGAAGGGAAAGCTGGAAATTATGGGAAGTGTACGTGAATGTATATTCATCAGGTTTGTCTTTGTTCCTGAAAACTGTTTGTAAAGCAGGCAATGATTCTTAGACTGTGGGTGCTTCATCTGGGGTGAGGCAAGGTAGAGCAAATTCTTTGTGCCTGCTGTGCTCAAAGAGTGTCTGTGCAGGTGTTTGCAAACTAGCACTCCTGAAATTCATGACAGTGCTTGCTTTGCACAAAGTTTTCATGTGAGCATAATCCCAGTGTGGCTTTTCAATAGTACCATGGGCTAAAATGTAAAATGCTGCATATATATGAGCCTCGATGTTCAATTTCAGAAGCTTGTTTGACATTTGTCAAGAAAAAAATAATTTGTCACTTTCGTTTTACATTGATGTACACATTGTTCCAAAAACTGTTGTAAAACTTTTGTTTGGCTTGGCCAGTTCCAGTCTTGTGCATCTGTTTCTGTGGAGTCTCAAAAGGTTCACATAAGACAGAATGACTTTTGTAGCTTAAACTGTTGGAAGATTAATAGCTGAATAGTGTAATTGCTTATCAACATGAAAGCAATGTCCTGCTTTTGGAGATCACTGAATAGTTTCTGAACACTTTGGACTATTAAACATAGTTTCTGTTGATATGTCTTTGAGGAAAAGGCCTATGTGTCTTTACACACTATTGTAACTCCTATCAATGGTTCCAAACCGTTTGATGCCTTCTCATGATCTGATTTATGTAGGAATTGATGGCTTTTTAATGCTGGAAGGTACCGGTACGACTTCTGGGACACAAGAGGTTAACAGCAAAATCTGAGTTAGATGTAGACCTGCACTTGGAAGATAAAGGTCTTAGCTGTATTACTGATCCGTATATTGTGTGTCTTTGCAAGGCTTTTGAGACTGACTTTCAAGTTTCTGAGTAAGACGGCTAAGAAGACTTGTGAGAAGAGATTTTGATCTGGGGTCAGTCTCTGAAATCTCAAAATCATGATTAGCTTTTATTGTTAGCACTGGAAAGTTGTTGATATGCAAATGAATGTTGCGAAGTAATGGCAGCTTGGGGAGGGACTGCAGCAGAGACTTTTCTCACTGGCTGGTGGCAGCTATCCATTCTGCATAGCATTGAAGACAACTATCTACTGCTGTAGGGTGGAACAAATCAGATTAAAAGATGGCAGTGGGGATTAGGTGCTAGGAAAAACCTAAGGTTTTGCAATACGGAAAGACTCTCAGCCATAGGTTTTACATTCATAAGTGTGTAAAATGGGCTGTGGGGGGGCTTCCAGAATGTATGTGGGCAGAGGGACTGTGTCAGGATATGTTAAAAAGACAGAAAATGATGTGTTTGTGAATTCTGAAACCAAACCGGTTTCAGTATGATGCAAAATTTTTAGTGCTAAGAGTGAGTTTAGGTCCCAAGCTGATTTTATTAGCTGCATAGTGTTATAGTAAGAAATAGTTTTATTTATTTATTTTCAAGGACAAGAGCTTAGTTTGATACTAGCTCCTGGTTCACCCCCATCTGCAGCAACAGAAATCTTTGAGGGCGTCAAGATAAGTTGCCGTCACTTCTGTGATTCTACATATAGTGAAAGATGAGGGAAGATGACTCAAGGGGCCCTTCTTTGGAGGATGGGTAGAAAGGCCAAGAGATTTACTGATTTAACTCCCAGAATAATTGTTTTCGATTTGTATCTCTGTGCCCTGTTTCCTTTTCTGTAGTTCAGCCAGTGCTGGGAAGATACAAAAGATTTCATAGTTGTTGAAGTCTTACATAAGACATTTATTTCTCCCTTCTACACATTAACATAAATTGTGTAGGTTAGGTAACAGTATTATATCTGAATCTGATTTTCCTGAATATTTTCTGGAACTACTAAATCAACAGTTTAGTTCTTAAGCTGATGACATTATCCATCTGGATAACTTATTTTTTTGGTGGCAGTGGTTTGTTTTTTCTAGAAGTCAATTTCCAGCTTGGAATCCATTTAGAAATAGTCAAGAGAATAGTTGAGGGAGAAAAAAATGTTCTTCAAGAAATGTGTCCTCTTCCAGAGTATACTTAGTGATATAACTTGACATTTTTCTGGCATGTTTGTATTTCTAGTCTGACTAGAAATCTGGCTTAACAAAATGGAGCCAAATATCTTCCTTAAGAGTACCCCCAGTGGACTGTAATAAATTGCCTGGGAATGTAATTCCAAGCTCAAACGTCAGAGTGTGTGGTTCAGGTCAGGAAACCTTCTGCTTTTCCTGCTCCTTCTTGATCGAGGTCTATAGACATTCCAGAGAGAATAATTTGATTTTGTAGGATTTATAAACAGGTCTGTTTTCATTAAAAGTTATGTCTGATTAATGTCCTATGCTGTTACTATTCATTATGGCTGTCTAATCAGCACTGTGTGTCTAAAGTAAATTCTAAGAGAGTAAGAGAGCTTTATCAGAGTAATATTCAATCTGAACAGATTCGATCGTATTTTCATTCACATGATTCTGTTCAGGTCTTTTTTGCAAGGCTTTTTGCACCAGTGTGGCTAATAGCACAATATGGTCTTTTAGCCTTGCATATAAATTATAAAAACTGTTTCTTTTTTTTTTCTTTTGTTTCTTTTTTTTTTTTTAAGTAATGAACTCTTATTCAGCTGGCAGACGTGTTGTGGATACAAAGAAGAGATGCACGCTTGCTATTTATTCTAAAGTATTTACTACGTTGTCTACTTAAGTACAAAGAATGAGCAATTTGAGAACTGCAGGACACTTCAGTTACATTTATGAATATGTAAACTAATTTCTGTTTAAAACGCCCTGGGAGCGGAAGAATGCCATGTGTTTGCCTGCACTGTTGTGATACTGCTGTCTACTACTCTATGAAAACTACAGTAAACCCATTTTTTCTAACTGTTCTTTCTAACTGTTGACTTGTCATTTGAATATTGCTGCCTCCTTAAATGGAACACATATTCAGCAGATTTTTATTGCTTTAAGTCTAGCTGTTTTTCTTAACTTTTGAGCCATTTTCCACATCTGACATTTAAGTATTGATTACCAGAAAATGGATGCACTTAGAGTTGCTATTCATAGGTAAACTATTCATCGTGCGTAAGCTTGAATAAATGTGTGTGTGTCCTGTCTTTGCACTTAGGTTTAAAGAAGAAACCAGAATCAGTTGAAAGTACCTCAGAAGATGAAGATGAAGTTGAAAAACAGAAGGTAAAGTGGTTTAATATGTTAAGAATTACAGATGTTGCATTGCCTGAATTCTGCAAATATCTATGTTATGTGTTTGTGGGTGGAACTACTGAATTCCATAGGATGGCAATAGAATAAAACTGTGCAATTTTAATAGCGAGAGCTGTTGGAACAAAAACTACCCAAGAAGAAAGGTAGATGGTCCATGCCTTTATGTCTTAAGATTATGCCGGGATATCTTTCTGGAAGATTGTAGTTGAACACAGCTCAACAGAGTTAGGCAACACTGAAATGTAGGGACACAGAAGCCATAGTGGTTGAGCTGGTAGTCCCTCTTGCTTTAAAGCTATCCCAGTATGTTTGTGTGTTGGGTGGTGCCGAATGTTTGCTTTTAGCATCAACGTTGTATGAAGCATTTGTGTGTTCAGACTTTGTCCTGTAGACTTTTAACCTCAAAGGCTGAATTGTTTGCTATTGCATGTTTGCTTTTCATTCTTTCACAGAACAAGTTAACTAAATAGATGTGTTAAATTCATATATGTTAATTTTTATTTTGCTATAAAAATATCAATATAAAATTATATCTGCTCATGATTTCTAAGTTATGGTGTACAATTTTCAGATTAGATTATTGGTATGTTTAAATGTTGAATGTGGGTATTAGCATTTATTTTATGTCTAATAAAAAGTAAATCAGCTATTGTGTTCAATATTACACCTCAAAATCACAGAAATGACAGAATGGTGGGAGTTGGAAGGGACCTCTGGAGATCATCTGGTGCAACTCTCCCACCAAAGCAGGTTAAAATGTTAAAAGAATGTTATGAAGGAAATAATACTGCCCTGACAACCGTATTTCAACTCAGGTGTATGTATGTAGACTCATACAGACTTTATTAACTATTTTTCACAGAAAACTTAATTTCATTGTGTACATGGACTTTCTTATTTTGTAACAGGCTGAAATGGCCCTACTTATGATGGATGATGAGGATGATAGCAGAAAACATTTTAATTATACAAAGATTGTAGAACAACAGAATTTGAGCAAGAAGAAAAAGAAACTTTTAATGAAAAAGAAAGAATTACTAGAAGATGACTTCCAGGTAATGATGTGCTCTTGATTTTGAGGCTCAGCTAGAACCTTTGTTACTGTAAATTCTCTTCAGGACAAATTTGGTGGTTTCATATCCTTCTCCTCCCTTACTCTATCTGAAGGAGAAGAGCTAGATCTACCTTTTTAGGGAGTTACAGGCTGTTTTCAAAAAGCAAGAAATATTCTGCTACAATGTTGAAGGGAGCAGTCTCAAACACTGTGTAAGGTAACAAGACAGTATTTATCCAAGGCCTTGTACAATGTACTGCCTCAAATACTCATTGGTGTGTTTGTTCCGATTGTTATCCACTGCTGCTTTCGTCCTGGTCAGTTCTCAACAGCAAACCTTTCCTTGGTCTGCCCATAGAGGCATATACAGGATTTGTACAAGCACTCACTTGTCTGTTCTACCAATAACATCTTCTGGCTCTTTACTTCACACTCACTGGGTTTTGTGACTGGAGCAGTTCCAGCAATGGTGAACAATCTCATGAGCTATGACTCCTTAAGCACCTCATATTTTATTGTGTTAAAAGCTTTGCTGTCGTGGGTAAAGGCTACCCAAAATAAATACTCCTTTTCTGCCTTCAGGTAAATGTTGCCGATACAAGATTCCAAGCCATGTTTACTTCTCCCCTGTTTAATTTGGATCCTTCAGATCCAAATTTCAAGAAGACAAAAGCAGTAGAAAAGATCATGGAAGAGAAAGCTCGCCGAAGAGAAGAAAAGGAGCAAGATCTTAAGGACGCAAGCATGGGGCAGGAGAACAAGAAAGGAGAGGTTGCTAAGAAAGCTATAGATCCTGCCTTATCAATGCTAATAAAATCTGTCAAAAATAAAACTGAAGAATTTCAGGCAAGGAAAAAGCAGAAATTCAAATAACTGAACTTCATTTTTACTCAGACTTTACTTTAGTCTCAGTTTTTCCAACTGGTGACATCTGTTCAAGTTACTGCATCTTCCTCTGATTCCTATCCACCTAAAATTTCCCAAAAAGTCACTTAATTGCGGTGGTGAGTTTTGAAATAACTACAGTAGTAATGACTCTTCTGCCACCATAAATACTGGTTTGTGCTATTATTGAAAAACTACACCTTGAAAATGTACCTAAGTAAGGAATTGATGGTTTTGGGGTGGTTTGTTTTGTATCATTCCATCTCTTTATAAAGATAATAGAAGTGCTGAAAACAACTACAAGAAGTAGTCATAATTATGGTTGTACTTATAAGTAAGAAAATCACTTCTGCAGAGGTTTATTGCTGAGACTAAGGGTCTTAATGCTTTCAATTCCGCAGAAGTCTATAAAACGTATCTCTCTTGACAAAGAAGATAGTAATAAAACTAAAAACTGAAGAAATTTTGTATCCAGTTTCTTTGTATATTTTTAAAAGATTACATATATGCTTCATTCTTCTTTAAATACTTGAAGACTTCCTGGATAATAGAACTAATTAAGGGAAATAATGCTCTTTAGAAGTGTTTCAGTAATATATATTGGAAATAAATGGTTTAAATTGGCCCGAAGGAATTTTGGGCACTTAGCTGTGTTTTTTTCTTCTGTGCCTAAATGAAAGTATGTCAAAATTAAACTTTTTTGCTATTAACATTGCATTCCCATTAATATAATTACACTTCTACAAAGTCTTCCAGCATTGCAAGTGTTAAGAAGGAAAGAAAGAAAGAAGAAAGTCAAAGGCAGATCTAGATGATACAATTTCAGAAACCCTGTTGTTTGGTCATATTAGTATCAGTGTCAGTGATGAAGGTATGAATGGTGCAGGGAAAAATACAGTAGATAGAATATGATCTTTCTTCCCTGGAGTATGGGGATTGATGTGTCTTAAGGTTTGGTTTGGGTTTTTTTTTTTAAGTGCTTGCTCTTTCAGCTCTAACAGCAGTGCAACATTATATCAAAAAAAGAATGAAAATTTTAGAAACAAGGAGCTGAAAGGTAATTTGTCATTTTAAAGAAGTGTTGTTAATTCCGAAGACCTTCTACTTCTTTAAACAAAGCATTCTATTAAAAGAGAGGTTAGAAACTTGAAGATAATCAAAACTAGTGTTTATATGAAGTAAATATATCTCAGTATGTAAAGGAAATTATGGAGTCAGATTTAGCACAGGAGAGACTGTACACCTAATGGCCAGAATGGACAAAGTAGTTAAGGGACACAATATAGAAATACAGGTGGAGAGGGTTTTTACAAGAGTGCTTTGCAGTGGTGTGCCTGAGGAATACTTGCAGACCTCGAACATTTTAAATGTAATAGTTCTTTGTAAACCTTCGAACATCTTCAGATTCATTTTCAAGTAGCTAACAGAAAAAGTTGATCTACAGTCTTTGATCCCAGTTCTGTGGCTTCTTAGCCTTTCAGGCACTATGGCACGACGCAGTAAGCCCATGTTTTGTAGTTTGAGCTGACCAACTGTGATGGAGAACAAGGAAGACTTGTCCCGCTGGAAGTGGCAGGAAGCTTCTGAACGTGGGCGTACAGTGGAGAAGAGCATAATGATATTCACCAAGATAGGAATTTTCTATAAAGAGAGAGAGGAAAGGAAGTTGCTTTGGGAAACAGAATTTCCACCAAGGAAAGCACCCTTGCATCAAACAGCAAAGTGAGGTGTTATTACTAAAGAAAATGTGTAGTGTTATACGAAAGTGTACACATATGCCTCTGATACAGACAGTGGATAAGGAGATAAGCCTCTTCCATGATGAGAGACCATATTATTTGTATAATAAAATTGCAGCATCAAAAACTAAGTAGTGGTCTTCAATGCAGTTTCTTAAGACTGGCACACATGATATGATTTCCAGGCACAAAGTAGTGACACCAAGCTGAAAGGGTAAAATGTAGACATGCCATGTATTTGTACAGATTTTTTTCAAATTGCGATTCATTGTATGGCTTATATTTTGCAGGGATATGAAATGCACTAGGGACAGTAGCTTGAATTGCATGAGGTTTAGAGATTAGTATATCGAGTCTTAGTGGTGATGGAATGATAAGCGTTTCTGTGTAAAGTGCATGGAAAATTGGACAGCTGAGAACAAAAGCAAAAGGTCTGAACAGAAACGTCAGTTAAATGAAGGATCCATGTAGCCCAGCGTCCATCTCTGATGGTGGCCGGTAACAGGAGATACTAATGGTACATGGACAACATTACACCTTGTCAATGGGGAAGTGGGTAAGTTAATAATTGTTTTACCAGTTTCTTTCAGGAATACAGCTTGGGTAGGACTAATTGTTGTAGGTACCTAATTTGTAAAAGCACCGTTTCACAGCTGTAGGAACCCCACAAAGTTTCATTCTGTGTTGGTGCACTTACAAATTCTGTGTCAATACGGGGTCTGCAGACAGTCTCCCATAACTGCTTAATAATTTTTATGGAAAAGCAAGTTGGGAGGGGAAATAAAAGGCAACAAACTGCACTGTCTCTTGAATCCTCTAACCCTGCCAAGTTCTGCTCTGTTTTGATGCATGTGACATGCATGCTTTTACAAAGGAGTGTTCCTTGTTTGTGCACTAGCAGTAGGCATAGCCTGCTGTGTTTGACTTCCTGGCAGTGCTGAGTAGGGTCACTTAAATTATCAGTGCTTTTATTTTTGGCTTGGCGCTTTTATAACTTTACTGGAAAACAACGCGTGGCATGGGTGAATCTCTGCTCCTCCAGAATGCCCAGGTACGCTGAGTGACTCGCTGGTACAAAACACTCCAACAGAACGCCTGTACTTCTGCAACGCATCTGTCCTTTACAGTAACTTTGCTGGAAGGCTAATTTGAAAAAAATGGTTACAAAATTAAAAAGTCACAAGTAGTGATGATGACTTATTGAAATTAGATGGTGTAAGTTACGTTGTGTCTTTTCTTCACCTGTACGTGTGCTGGCTACCTTCTTTCTTCCTGTTGGGAAGCCTCGCCTGTACTTGGAAGTCATAGCAAGACAAAATGCACAAAAATACGAAGGCAGACTTGACAGTGATTTCAACTATTGGTTGAAGAAATTATGTTGCTGTGCGGTAATGTGTATTGGGTGTCATGTAAATGCTTAGTGTGTGGTAATTTTATCTAATCAGATGTTGCCGGTTTTGTTCTCAAGTTGCTGAGTCCTGAGGGGGTATCTTGGTTGGGAAGAACTGCAGGATCTGTCCCAGCATGCCCCTTGGATGGGAAATTTTTGGTCTGTTTATAAAATGGTTAGGTCTAAAGTCTCTCCCCCCCCCCTTTTTTTTTTTTTTAAATCAAGTTATTAATTGCTAACTGCTAACGGCTCAAAGCCCATCAACTAATCTCCATAGCTGCAGAACAGTGCTAACAAAATCTGATTTCTTTCTGTGTTTTCTGCAGAAGCATATCTTGGAAGTCTGGTAAGAAGTGGTCAGGTCTCATCTACAATTCCTTACAGTTCGCGGCCCTTGGTGCAAACCACACAAAGGATGTTTTTGACCATCTCATCCTTTTAAACATGAAAATGGGATCTAGAAGTTCTAACCTTGAACTTTAACATATGATTTTATTTTTTCCCTTTCACTAAATGTCATGTAACCAGCAAAAGTGATGGCAATTAAATAAAATAAGGCATTAAAAAACAGGACTGTTAAAAGTGAGACAGAGCTAATTTTTCTAGCAACTTATGGAGGTCTGGTATAAAGTAGTTTGTCTCCAAGTTGGCAACCATCAGAGCTCATGCTAGAGTGTAAGCCAGATATTTAAAGATCTAATATTACAAGTAGAAATCACAAGAGGGTTTGATTTATTCAAAAACCGAGAAAGATCAGACAACCAGAGATGAAGAGCCACGTATGTTTTCTATTATTCCTTCCTTCTAAAAATTAAGTGTATTATTTCCAATTAATAGCAAGTTGGCTTTTTGTTCTTTTCATATTTCAGTAGTGTCCAAAAATAACAGTAAGTTGTGCCGTCACATACTTTTTTAGCAAACAAAACAACCAACCAAAATACTGTGGAATTTGGGGTTTTTTTAAGTTTAAATAAAGTCTTAGAAACTTACATTATATATATTTAAAACTATGAGGGTAATTAGGCACTTGTCTTGAATCATCAATTAAATACCTCAACCTCAGTTTTGTAGCTATGGTAAGAATAACACAAGTAGTTCTGACAGCACAGTAATATTCATTATACTTTATTTCATAGAATACTTTAAATAACTGCATCCTTCCGAAAGTAAAAATGTACCTTTGCATGCACAGGACTATATTACTGTATTCCTGTAAAAAACCAAGACAAGGTGGCAGAAAGGTCTATTGTCTTGTGTATTTTTTTCTGTGCTTGACATATGGTCTTATAAATGGGAATATTTTTGTCCGGGCTGTGGATCCAATCTAGATCAATGTCACTTAAGGTCATTATTACTTTATATCCTCCTCATCACTAGCATATGAGTAATCCCTGCTCAGTAATGTTCCAGCTCTGTATTTCAGCCATGCAAGTTTTGAACAACATTGCTTCTAGCCTCCAGTGAGCGCCCTGGCAAACCTCACTCCTGTCCCATTTTCAGAGACACCCGATCCAAAGGCTGGCTGCCACGTTTTCATGGGCAAATGCTCTTGGACCGCATCCTGTGCGCTCCTTGGCATTGCACAAGTCCCTTGGCTTTGCTCTGAAATCCTGCCCAATGCACTTAGACCTTTCTCTTTTTATACTTCTGGGGCAAGGGAGGAGGGAAAAGACAACTGAGGCAGATGGGGTTTGTATTGACTTCCGACAGCATGAGTCAAAGATGGACATTGTAAGTCTGAACAGAAAAACTGCCCATCACAGTCAGCAACGTGTGTTGCTCAGATGGGTTGGCAATTTGTCCATGGAAAATATAACTGAACAGAAGTGGTTACTAAAAAGGACTAAGAATAGCAAAGTGACTGTTT